CCCTGCTCCTTGATTGCAGGACACAGCACAGCATCTCAGTGATAGACTTACCTCTCAGATAAGAGAGTCCACGTGCCCCCTTTAGCCCAGGGCCCAGAACATAAGAAACACTGAATGAATGAATGGCAGCCCCTGGTGCTTACCCACAAAGACCTGCGCTGTCCGTCCCAGCTGCTCTACAGTGTGATGATGACGCATGTTGTTGTCATGAGCTGCCATCCTCCTCCAGCTTAGACTCTAAGCAGAGAAAGAAAGATGTGCCCATAACATAGTTTTTAAAAAAAAAAAAAAAGACTGATTTAATATGTATACAGTACTCCTGTACGCATTCCTGCCAGAAGAGGGCACCAGATCTCATTTCAGATGGGTGTGAGCCATCATGAGGTTGCTGGGAATTGAAGTAAGGACCTCTAGAAGAACACTCAGTGCTCCCCCCTCCCGGTAACATAGTTCTAAAAGCAGTGTGGAGTGATACATAATGATCGCAGTGCAATCCTGGCTAGCCTGGAACTCAGTACGCAGGCCTACCTGCCCTCTGCCTCCTGAGTGCTGGAATTGACAGCCATGTGCCTCACCACACAAGCAAAACCTGGCTTTTTTACTTGGGTTCCAAGTATCGAACTCAGGTCAGTCAGGCTTGTGTAGCAAGCACTTTGGTTCACCGAGCCATCTTATATCCTTTTTGCTGGTTTGTTTTTTTTAAAAAAAAAAAACACAACCAGAAAGTAGTGGGAACCATATATACACACAAAATGAACAAGGGTTCACTGAACAATACATCTTACTTTCTCTTGCCTTAACAAGGCACCATGACCAGGACAACTTGTAAAAAAAAAAAAAAAGACATTTAATTTGGGGCTCTTTGTTCCCGACAATTAGGCCGTGACCATCAAGCAGGGATTGTGGCAGCAGGCAGGCAGGCATGGCCTGGAGCCTTAACTGAGGGCTCACATCTGGAAACAGCAACCCTGAGGCAGAGAGAGCACCGGCTTTTCTTTTAAAAAAAAATAATTAAAAAAAATAATTTTTAGCAGGGCATGGTAATACACGCCTTTAATCCCAACACGCAGGAGGCAGAGGCAGGTGGATCTCTGTGAGTTCAAGTCCAGCTTGGTCTACAAAACAAGTTTTGAGTTCCAGTACAGCCAAAGCTATTACACAGAAAATTCTTGTCTCGAAAATACACACACACACACACACACACACACACACACACACACACACACACCTTTCTTTGGGGCATTTATTTTTATGATTTTATTATGTATGGATGTTGTGTCTGCATGAGGGTGTGTGTACATGAATACAGGTACCCTTGGAAGCATTAGATTCCTCTTGATATATGTTCGCTTGGGTTTTTTTTTTTTTTTTGAGAAAGAATCTCTATATATAGCCCAGGTTGTCCTAGAACTCTCTATGTAGACCAAGCTGATCTTGAATTCACAGAGATCCTCTGCCTCCAAAGAACTGAGATTAAAGGCGTGTGCCACCACGCCCAGGTACTTACTTACTGGTATTTTATTGTTGACAGTGATTTCTTTCCCGCCCAGTCCCAGTATTCTGTCTCAAAGAAACAAACAGAGGTTTACATTAATTATAAACTGGTTGGCCTATTAGCTCAGGTTTCTTATTAACTCTTACATTCTACATTACCCCATAATTCTTGTTTGTGTTAGCCACATGGCTTGGTACTTTTATCAGTGAGGCATTCTCATATTACTTCCTCTGCATCTGGGTGATGGCTGCAGACTGAACCTTTTCTCTTCCCAGAATTCTCCTGTTCTGGTTGCCCTGCCTATACTTCCTGCCTGGCTATGGCCAATCAGCATTTTATTAAAGCAATACAAGTGACAAGTCTTTACAGGGTACAAGACCAATGTCCCACAACATTTTATATTCTATTTTGTTTTGTTTTATGTATGTGGCTATTTTGCCTGAAAGTATGTGTTTGTACCCCACATGTACCTGGTGCCCTTGGAGGCTAGAAGAGGGATATCAAATCCCCTGGAACTGGAGTTACAGACAGTTGTGAGGTGCCACATGGGTGCTGAGAATTGAACCCAGGTCCTTGGGAAGAGCTGCTAGTGCTCTTAACCACTGAGTTATGTCTCCAACCCCTTCTATCCCATTTTATTTTTAAAAAATGGTCAAGAGGGGCTGGAGAGATGGCTCAGTGGTTAAGAGCATTGCCTGTTCTTCCAAAGGTCCTGAGTTCAATTCCCGGCAACACATGGTGGCTCACAACCATCTGTAAAGAGGTCTGGTGCCCTCTTCCGGCCTGCAGGCATACACACAGACAGAATATTGTATACATAATAAATAAATAAAATAAATATTTTTAAAAAATGGTCAAGATACTATTACAGGATGAACTGTGTTCCTTGGAAAATTAATAATGTCCTTTACAGTCCTCAGAAAGAGCCAACTAGGCAACACCTGAATCTTGGGATTTTAGCTTTCATCACCATGAGTCAAATTTCTGTCTTAAGCCACCCAGCTTGGGGTGTTTTATTATACCAGCCTAAAAAAACTAATACACCCATCGGATGACTTTTGTGACTCAGTCTTGCGTTGTAACCTGAAGTTCTCACACCATAAAGGTTTTTTTTTTTTTTTTTTTTTTTTTTCCCTCGAATGCTTTCTCTCATGCAATCTTTGCAGTTGCTGGGTGGGATACAGGGCCCGGAGGGAAGGCAAGGCAATGAAGTGTCAGGCAGGTGGTGCCATTAACCAAACCTGGCCTGACCCTACAATTACACAACCTAAAATGAGTCGAGCCCTCCTCCCCTCGCTGTATTCGGGCCCCACTGAAGCTGCAGCTACTCAGGCCTCTCTGCCTGTCCTTGGACGAGGACCTCCTGAGATCTTCAAATGGCAGGACCTGGTTTCCACTACCATCTGCGGACAGTCATATGTGCGGTGGGCACCTGGAAGCACATATAAGGCATGTGTGCCGTGAGCTCACCTGAGCTCAGACCTCAGGGTAAACATTACTTGCTGGACCAGTCTCTGGACAGACACTCCTGCCTGATCTCCACCCCTGCTCTCAGACCTAAGACGTTCATAAAGATACAGACGCCTCTTCTAGGCTCTGTCTTGGAGGCAATTGTATTACCCTCCCCCAATCCAGAAACCTCTGGGTAAGATGGAGAACCGTCTGCTTTCCTAACCCGATGTTTATTCTGAGCCGTAAAAACTGTCTGGGACTGCAGAGGTAGAGGTAGCACTGTGGTTATGAGCTCTGGCTGCTCTTTCAGAGGACCTGGGTTTGACTACCAAGACCCACGTTGGTAGCACACAGCGATTTGCAACTCCAGTTCCAGGGGTTGCGATGCTTCCTCTAGCGTCTGAGAGTACTAAACTAGCACGTGGCACACACACATGACGATATATCCACACACATTAAAGACAATCAAATAGTATGTGTTGGACTGTAGATGTGGCTCACTTGGTAGAATGCTTGCCTGGCATGCAAAAAGCCCTGGGTTCAATTCTTAGCACCACGTGAACCCAAGCCCAGCACTTGGGAGGTAGAGGCAGGAGGATACAGTTCAAGTTTGCCCTTGGCTAAGTAGCAATTTCAAGGCCAGTCTGGGCTAAGGAGTTCTTGTCTCATCAACAACATCAAGTGCATATACACAAGCAAATAATCAAGCAACAACAACCAAAGTGCCTAGTGCCTGCTGTTTATGATAGGTCAGCGTTGCTCCAAGTATTTTATTCTCAACTGCAGGGGCTACGTTACCCTTGTGGGCTCCATTTTGCAGATAATAAAACAGCCAGTTTTTCAGTTAGCACGTTTGGCAGGGCTTGAACACAAAGAGCCCCTGCTCAGAATCCACGACTATGCTGGATGTACAATTTGTTCCTATCATTTGCAGACTGGTTCGGTCTATGTATGTGCTGTGCCCAGTGCCCGCTAATGTGCAGGGGAGATCAGTTTCGTCACCAGGGGGCAGCATAAGACTGACTTTGACTCTTCAGCCCAGCCCTGATTGCCAAAAATTCTAAGTTGACACAGCCGCCCTCAGACACCATCCTTCCACACACTCCTTGACGGTCAGGTTTGGGTCCCTTGTTATCCTCCTCCAGCAAAAACTACGAACTATCCTCTAATTATGACGGTGACTCAGAAGCTGAGCAAGGTGTGTGTGTGTGTGTGTGTGTGTGTGTGTGCACGCGCGCGCGTTTGTGAGTGTGTGTGACTCTAAGTGGCCCTGACTGATGACATGTGTTTGAACATGCCGCTACATGTGTGAACATGTACGTGTGTGTGTGTGTGTGTGTGTGTGTGTGTGTGTGTGGTCTTGTGGCTAGGGAAATTGTACATGTTTGTTTTGGGGTGTGTCTCAGTGTTTACCCCAGATACGAACAGGAACTTTGCTAAGGTTGCAGAGCGTATTCACACTTCAACTTGGCCCCCTAGGAATCTTCTGGCAGCCCTCAGTGGCCATCGCTAGGGCCTGAGGCATGGTACCCCGTGCGGATCCCTTGTCCTCCAAGTGCCTCTAGGAGTCTTCCAGAATTCTAAGCTAAGGGTTCCCCTCCCCCACTTCCTCCATACAGCGTCACGGGACCTCTAAGGCGTTCCCGCCTAGGAAGGAGGTGAACCTAGTTCTTCGGGGCCTCAGGCTCCGGGCTGCTTCTCAGGGTCCTCCACTGGAGGGAGCGCACAGCCCAGTGGGACCAGATGCTCAGTCCCCAGGGGCCCCAACCTCTGACCCGGAGAAAGTTTGTGTGGTAGGTAGCTAGGCAGTTTAGGGTGGCACGCCTCTCCCAGCTATTAGGTGACTCTCCAGAGGAAAAAATGGATCACTGTTCAGGGGGCTAGAGTACGTGAAGGTCAGCCTCCTACCAGCGTGACTCAGTGGAACTCCAGCTATGCCCTCCCCACTGCGTGCTTCCCCACCGGGCACCGGGAGGCATACATGTTCACCCCACTTTCTTCCTCTTCCTCCTCCAGCCCACTTTCTCTTCTCTGTGTCGTCAGAGCTCCAGGGAGGGACCTGGGCAGGCAGAGAAGCCGGAAACAGCAGGCCGGGGCAGCCAGGGTTTACAGTGAAGAGGAAGGCCGGGATCCGAGTGCCTGCGTGCGTGTGTTTGTGTGTGTATACATTGAGTTTTTAGGGCCAGCCCAGGACCCGCTGGACAGCGCTACAGATCCATGGGGCCTGGCAGTGCCCGCTGAGAGAGGGAGAAGATAGCAGAGGGGCTGCCAAGGTGAGGGGGATGTCTGCGGGCGAGGAAGGTGGGGGGACCTTTGACTAAACGTGAGGGATGGATTTTCGGGGCCTCTCGGGATCCTCCCCTGGGCGGGGCGCTTGGTCCCCTGGAAATTGTTTGCTGGTGTTAGTGGCTGGTAGCACCGGGTTCCGGCAGTTTCCAACTTTCGAAGGACTCGGGTGGGTACAGGCCTCCACACTCCCCTCCCCAGCGCGTCACGTCACTTTCCCCAACGCTCAGCCCTGCACCTCCTTGAAAGACTCCTGAGACGTGGAAAGTCGCGGAGCAGAGGGGAAGGAGGGCCCTCTGGGTGGGGGGGAACGGGCTGCCCCTCCCTAGAAGTTGATGCTCCTGGGCCCCGAGCCTGTTCAAGCCCTAGCTGCTGCCCGCTAAAGGTTCCTGTTCAGGGTGTGGCTGGAGGATGAGCGAGACCCAGATGCAGACCTCATGGTGCCCCAGAGGAGGGGGAATTTCCCCCTCACACGGCTCGCTTAGCTGCAAAAAAACACTGAGATTTCCCCGTGGGAGGGCGGCCGGCCGGGGGTTAACCCTCCTCGTGCTGACCTGGCTCCACCTCCTCGCGCCCTTTCCCGCCCCCACTGCCACCGCCACCGCCACATACACACATTGGGCAACTCAGAGAAAACCTTGACTTTTGCTATTGGGGTTCCACGGTCGGCGGACTCGGAATGCAGGGGAAGAGGAGATAGGGAAGGACTTGGGCTACCAAGCTTATGAAGAAGCTTCTGGGCTGTCGGGCTTCCCCTACCGAGAAGGGGAGGGGGGGGGAGAGGCTGGAAGGGAACGCTGGCCCCGCCTCTTGCAGTGTGGCTCCGCCTTCCTTCCTTCCCTCCGTTGGGGACTGAACGCAGACGGTGTCAGTGTCCAGGCCCCACCTGTAGACCCCCGTACCGTTACTGGGTGCGCAGGGGAGAAACATGGCTACATGGTGTTTGGGGAGGGAGGAGGTTGAGACTTGAATCATTCTGCAAGGGGATTTAGAGGAAATGGGAGCTGTTTGTGGCTTGGAGGTCCCCAGTCCCCAGGAGGATAAGCATTGGGCCAAAGGTCTGGAATCAGAGCACTCCAGAGACTGGGAGGAAGACAGAATTCTTCCTTGAATTTGAGAATAAGCTGAATGGTATTCTTCAGGATGCCCCACCCAAAGGGGTAGACAGTTTTAGAACAGAAAGTCTCTGGTGGAGGACCCTGAGCCGTGGTGAGAGCTCTTGGAGTCAGAGGGAGAGAGAGAAACAAGATGTTTAGGGGTAGCAGTGTCCTGAGAAGGGGCCTCTTTGTCTTCCATCTGGAAGCCCCGGGCGAGTTGAGAGGCTCAAACAGCAGGGGGACTTGGGGACACCCAGGGAGTTTCCATTCATCTTCCTCCTCCTCTTCCTCTCTGAGAGGACACTATGAGAAATGCGAACTGAGAGCCCCCTGGGAAACCACTGGTCTACCCAGCCCACTCTGAGGCCCCTGGGAAAGTAGCGAGCTAGCTCTCTCTGCCTGTGCCTACCTCCTCTCTCCCTTTTCTCTCCTCTTCCTCTGGTTTTTGGTTCTCCGGTTGCCTAACTCTTCCCTCCAAGTCGGCCAACCCTGCTGTTTCTCCCTCTCCCTCTTCCTATTCCCCTTCCCATTCTTCCTACCCTCTCTATTTTCTGGAGGTGATTGGGCTCCTGAGGCGGAAGGAATCCTAAGAGCACAGTGTAGTGATTGATCCTTACGGAGATCCTGAGCCCAATCACCAGCTCCTTGCCCAGTGGCCTTGGCCAAGTTGAATAACCTCCTGAGCCTTAGTTTCTTCATCTAGGAAAAGGGGTAATTTCACACTTTAAAATAGGGCTGGAGAGATGGCTCAGTAGTTAAGAGCATTGGCTGCTCTCCCCAAGGACCTGAGTTTGATTCCCAGGCATACACGGCAGCTCACAGCTGTGTACAACTCCAGTTCCAGAGGCATACATACGTGCAGGCAAAACTCCCATTACCATTAGATAATAAAAAACTAAAACAATTGTTGGAAGGGGACAGGGATGTAGCTCAGGGATAGAGCATTTGTGTAGCATACATGAGGCCCTGGGCTTCTTTCCTAACACACGCACAGGTGCGTACATGTGTTCGCACACACACATGTGTGGATATGAGGTTCCAATGAGCTAATGTATTGAGTATGATGTATCTATGGACTAGTGCGTAATAAATATTAGACATTGCCAATCTACCGTCATCATCGTTATCGAGCTTGATGATTTTTGCAGTGTTGGGCATTGAACTCTCAGACATTTTACAAATGCTAGGCAGGCGACTTCCCATGGCAGTGTCTTTCAGGTTGCTTCCTAGGGTCTTAGAGTTTTGAAAGTTTTCCACGGGCCCCTTTGGGGTCGGGAGGAAGGGCGAAAGGGAGAGGACCCAGTGGACTTGCTGCCATCCACACTTGCCTTTGGCTGTGCTTTGCACCCCTCCCTCCCTAGGGGTTTGCTCTCTGTGGTTTTAGTTACCTGCAGTAAGCCACACTCTGAGAATATGAGATGGAAGAAACCAGAAAATGCAATTCGTGACTTTTTTTAAAAATATTTTTATTTATTTATTTATTATGGATACAATATTCTTTCTGCATGTATGCCTGCAGGCCAGAAGAGGGCACCAGACCTCATTACAGATGGTTGTGAGCCACCATGTGGTTGCTGGGAATTGAACTCAGGACCTTTGGAAGAGCAGGCAATGCTCTTAACCGCTGAGCCATCTCTCCAGCCCCCTGCTGTTAATTTCTTTATCCAACTTATGTATTAAACTTTGTGTAGGTATATATGGGAGAAAATATAATAGATACAAGAGCAGATGTTACATGCTGTTTTAGGCCCTATCCATGGTCTCGAGTATCCAGATGATGGCTTGGAGTGTCCCTTCTGGACACTAGTGTCACATGATTAAAAACTAGGAGTCAAGTGCGGTGGTGCATGTCAGTAGCCCTAGCAGTTGGAACGTGGAGACCAGAGGATCTTATGGCCCACACCTTTACCCCAACACCCAGGAGGCAGTGGCGGGCAGATTTCTCTGGGTTTGCGGCCAGCCTGGCCTACATAGGAAGGTCCTCTGATGTACTCAGATCACTTGCCTAGCACATACAAGGCCCCAAGTTTGCTCACAGCACCCCTAAAATCAAAATTGTTTAGCGCTTTCAAATGTTTAGAAACAGCAAAGGCATGGAGGTGTGTACCTGCAATCCCAGTACGCAAGAGGCTGAGGGGAAGGGGTTCCTTGAGCTCAGGCGCTCAAGAACAAACTGGTCCACAGAGCTAGATTTCTTCTTCTTTTTTTAAAATATTTATTTATTTATTCTGGATACAATATTCTGTCTGTGTGTATGCCTGCAGGCCAGAAGAGGGCACCAGACCCCATTACAGATGGTTGTGAGCCACCATGTGGTTGCTGGGAATTGAACTCAGGACCTTTGGAAGAGCAGACAATGCTCTTAACCTCTGAGTCATCTCTCCAGCCCCACCCCAGAGCTAGATTTCTTTTTTATTTTATTTATTTATTAAAGATTTCTGCCTCCTCCCCGCCACTGCCTCCCATTTCCCTCCCCCTCCCCCGATCAAGTCCCCCTCTCTCTTCAGCCCAATGAGCAATCAGGGTTCCCTGCCCTGTGGGAAGTCCAAGGACCACCCACCTCCATCCAGGTCTAGTATGGTGAGCATCCAAACTGCCTAGGCTCCCACAACAGAGCTAGATTTCTTACAACAAAAGTTTAGAGAGTGCTCTATGCATTCAGCCCTCATATTTCGTGACCAAGATCCTTAGAGTGTAGTCTTTTTACCGCCAGATCCAGAGCAGGTCCTGTCTTCCCTGAGTCTGCTCTTTCTCCTCTGTCTCGTGTCTTCTTGTCGCCTTGCCCTTCTGGCTGTATTTCTTCAGCTTGTCCATGTCTATCATGGAAGGTATTGACCTGTTTCAGGCATTGGTCAAGGGGCTTAAGGTGCCCTGGCAGTTGGTATGACCAAATGACAGGAGAAGAAAAAGGCTGTCCGGGAAGGATTGTGATGCCTCACGTCCTCACTCAACTCTGGGACTTGACCCTGAGAAACCAGAATGAATCTAAGCTCTGGAAAGATGCACAGTTCTAGGCTCAGCAAAACTGAAGGAAGTTCTTGTCAGGACCATCCATGTGGAAGAGCTATGGATGCCCCAGAAGCTACGCTGAGTTTCTAGGGGCCTCTTTGAATGGCCTTGCTCTTCTCTCCCAAGGCACCTTGCACACCCCAGATCATGTCTCTGTGGGGTCTGGTTTCCAAGATGTCCCCAGAAAAACTACAACGACTCTACGTTGACTTTCCCCAACACCTTCGGCATCTCCTGGCTGAATGGCTGGAGAAGCAGCCCTGGTGAGTCCCTTATGTATCTTCCCTCTCTTTAGAGCCCTTCCTGATGGAATTCAGGATTGAGGACTCGTTAGTGTATAGGTAATAGCCTAGACTTGGCGTGGAGCCAGCACAGAGTGGGAGCGGGAGGCAGGGGGACAGCTGCAGACAACTGTCTGGAGAGGATGGAGAGGGGAAAGAACCACTGGGTTCTTCGCTGTAGAATGGAGGCTCAGAAGCACCGAGGAAGCCCTGGCTTGAGATAGATGATGTCCCCACAGGGAGTTCCTGGTTGGTTCAGATGCCTTCTGCTACAACATGGCTAGTGCCCTGCTTTCAGCCACTGTCCAGCAACTTCAGACCTCTGCAGGGGAGCAGGGGAAAGGAAGCACCATTTTACAGCACATCAGTACCCTGGAGGTAGGACAAGAGGGGAAGGGAAAAGGTTGGGGTGGGATCAAGGTAGAGCTGGAATGAGCACTGGGTACAGGAAGAAAACTGCTTGGATGGGAGATGTTGAAAGCAAATGGTACTCTTGTGGTTGGGCACTAGCTGACATGCAAATCGGTTCTTAGAGCATGCAAATGTTTGATGCTTGGGAGTCTACAGTTATGGTCCCCGCCAGTGTATCCATGAATGGGGACAAGGAACTGGGGGAGGGCATGTATAAGAGTGAGGCTAACTGCTAATCCCTTTCAATTCTATAGAGCATCTATCAGAGGGACCCTCTGAAGCTTGTGGCCACCATGAGACAAATACTTCAAGGGGAGAAAAAAGCTGTTGTAGAAGAGGTATTGTGATACCCCACTTCCCATTTGTATTAGTCGGGGTTCTCTGGAGGAAGAGAACTTACAGAATGAATATGTGTATTTGCATGCATGTATGTATATATATATACATATATATACGTGTGCATATTTATATACATATAAATATGTATTGTGTATATACACGGTTTACGAATTGTGGTCCAACTAGTTTAACAATGGCTATCTACCAATGGAAGGTTCAAGTACTAGTTGTTCAGTCCATAAAGTTAGATGTCTCAGTTAGTAGGTTTATGGTCTTCAGTATACTCTGGAATCTTGAAGTAGGCCCTAATGCCAGGGAAGGAGTAGACTGGCTAGGGAGATCAAGAGCACGCAGGCAGAGAGGCAAGCTTCCTCCTTCCATGTCCTTTATGTGGGCTACCAGCAGGAGTGGCCCAGATTAAAGGTGGGTCATCCCACCTCAAAAGATCTGGATTAAGGGCTGGAGAGATGGCTCAGAGGTTAAGAGCATTGCCTGCTCTTCCAAAGGTCCTGAGTTCAATTCCCAGCAACCACATGGTGGCTCACAACCATCTGTAATGAGGTCTGGTGCCCTCTTCTGGCCTGCAGGCATACACACAGACAGAATATTGTATACATAATAAATAAATAAATATT